GCTTAGTGTTACTGTCTTGTTTTTGACTAATGAGTGTGGAAGTTGTGACCTCTTGTTTGGCGACCAGCATGTTTGTCTATGAGTTTGGTGAACAAAACTTGAAGTTAAACATTTGAAATGGTTACCCATTTGGTCTGTTGCAGAAGATTGTGGCAAAATATAATTTATTTCACTGTGTTGCTGGAGATCTATCCATCTATCCATTGTTCTATCATTCTAGTATTCAACTGGTCATTCATTTGTTTGTGCTATTGTTCTGTCTATCATTCATTCCATCCATCTATCCATCCATCCATCAAAAATTAATTGTTTCTTCAATCCATCATTTGTTCCTTGGTTGTGTCGCTCTATCGTTCATTCCATCCATCCATCCATCCATCAATAAATTAATTGTTCCTTCGATCCATCATTCATTCATTGGTTCTATCGCTCTATCTATCATTCATTCCATCCATTCATCCGTCCACCTATCCATCCATCCATCAATAAATTAATTGTTCCTTCGATCCATCATTCATTCATTGGTTCTATCGCTCTATCTATCGTTCATTCCATCCATTCATCCGTCCACCTATCCATCCATCAATAAATTAATTGTTCCTTCGATCCATCATTCGTTCATTGGTTCTATCGCTCTATCTATCGTTCATTCCATCCATCAATAAATTCATTTTTCCTTCAATCCATAATTTGTTAATTTGGTTCTATCGCTCTTTCTATCGTCCATTCATTCCATCCATCCATCCATTCATCATTTGTTCATTGGTTCTATTGCTCTATCTATTGTTAGTTGTTAGTTCCATCCATCCATCTATCCATCCAAAAAACTTAGAGACATTTAAAAAAAAAAATTAATGGTTTTTTAAACTTTCAGATGAGAGTTTAACAAGCCAACTTTCAAACTTTGTCTTTATGAATCTTCCTTTCGAGTTAAGTGATAGTTCACCCAAAAATTTCATCTTCTGTCAGCATTTACTTACTTTCATATCATTCCAAACCTGTATGAGTCTCCTTATTCAAAGGAACAAAAATGAATACATCAGAAAAAAATGAAAGTCAGTGAGGTTCAGTGTAGTTTAGACAAATTCTGGCATTCTTTAACATATATTTGTATCCTGCAGAAGTAACAAAGTCATACAGGTTTAGAACAAAATGTTATTATGACAGAATGTTCATTCTGGGTGTAGTATCCCATTAAAAATTCAACCTTCTTAAATGTACATTCACCAATTCTCCATCCTGTATGCTCTGATTTAATTCCTGTATTAAAAATAGATTATCTTCCAATTCAAGAATTAAATCGGAATTAAAAATCACTCTTGATTCTTTTCTGAACGGTTCACAACCCTATTCTAAACACATGTTTATGAACACTTCCTCTTTCCTCTCTTTAATGCACTACTCATTTCTCCTCTGTTAGACCCATCCCTACCCTCTTTGCCTTCAATAATGAGGGCAGCAGGGTTAAATTGGCACTGCACAAGCAGGGCCGTTTTAACCATTGGGCCAGGTGGGGCTGAAGCCCCGGGGCCCGAGCAAGGAGGGGGCCCGTGATTGGCTGTGGAGTAGATTGACTGGAGCGCAAATCGCCAAAGCCACCACGCCCCACACTTATTAGCGCTGTTATTTAGTTGAGCTTTCCCGTAAATTCCATGCATTACCATTTGAGATTGAAACGTAAAGTTTGAATTTGGTTTACCAATCAAATGCATTTATTCTATATTTGACTTTTGAACGATATGCGCACAATTTCCTTTTCCTCCTCAACATAAAAGAACATAACCAGTTTCTGGTCCCATCTGACTCCAATAGTGTTTTTTTTTCATATATGGAAGTAGTGAGGGCCCTGCAACTGTTTGGTTACCAATATTGTTCCAAATATATTCTTTTGTGTTCAACAGCATGAAGGAATCTCATACAGGTTTAGAACACCAGCAGAATTTTCATTTTTGGGTGAACTATAACGCAGCCTAATATAGCTGCTGTTACCATTTGTGTCAATAACGTAAATCAAACATCAGAAAGAAAATTACTTGCTGTCCTTTGGATCTCCTTCAATACTCTCAGAATCTTTACTTATTAAGACGATTTTGTTTCTGTATTATAAAATATATTTTTTATATTAACACATTTTAATGACAGCACATTTATTGGGGAAAAAATTAATACTTTTTTTTTTTCAAAATAAGCAGAAAATAGTACAAACGTCGCTAAAGTGATTGTTTTGAACAAGTATTAACTTAGACATTATTTAAAAAAAAAACATTATTTTAGCTGAAGTATTTGTATAAATACTGTGTGCCTTTTACCCCATGCTGGTGAGCCTTTTACCCCGTGTGTGGGGTAAAAGGCCCCTCTTGCCACCTCATACATTTATACAATTTTTAAACAAAATAAACAACTTGAATGATTCATTTTCACACAAAATCTGTTGCTCCATTAATGTTCAATACAACGTATATATTTTTTCTGCAATTATACATTTTAGACTTAAAATTTTTTATTTTTTCTTAAGGTGGGTCTTTAGCTCCGTTGTACCCTATATATACGTATATATCATTATTGTGATGGGGGGCCCTGCAGTAAGTCATAGCCCCGGGGCCCAGTGCGGTCTTAATGCGGCCCTGTGCACAAGTTGGCATCTCTAAATTGAAACCAAGAGAGAACATTGCCAGTTGTGTTCCCATACACTTCCCTGGGCCTTCTGCCTGTTCTCAGAGCCGAGCCAAGAGAGCATATGGCCGCATTTAGATACACAGCGAATCTTTCGCGTGTCTGTCAGCCGAACACTCTGCCCTTGTGAAGAGCATCCTGATGTGTCTGTCCTGTAGATGTGTGCCACTTGTTACCCAAATCCCCTCTGTTTAACCACGTTCTACTTCATTTAAAGCGCGAACAACTGTGATAGAGCCGTTAATATATATGTGACGTACGTTGTTTCTGGATTCTAGAAGCACAGACACGGATTCTCCTCACGCTTTGCTCAAATGAGCCCACTGGTGCATAAAATGAGATCGGTCTTTCAGCTGATCTCAGAATTCAGGCACAAGTAACTCATGTGCATGTGAATGTTGTCTTAAGCGCTCCGGTGATGGTTGCACAGCGATACGATGCAGGATCTGCCACTTGTCAGACGAGTTGATAGTCGATATGGCATGCTGATTGGCTGTAGGACTGGAGATGCGATTCGCCCCTTGGGGCTGTGTAATCTGGCTCCTGACAGCTGCTCAGTGGGCAGTCTGAACACTTTGCCAATACCCCGGAGCGGTTGAACGATGGTCATCCTCGGGTCATCTTGAATCATCCGCGACTCTTGTGTTCCGGCTCGGAGATGGACAGGACGCTCATACTAATGTTCAAACCTTGTTTCACAAGATCATGTTTTTTGACAAAACTCGCTAAATTTATATGACGGTGTTTTGTGGTGTTTAAATGGAGTTCTCTAGCTTTATAAGGACTGCAGAAGAAAGCTTGTCAATTTTACAGCACCTGAGAGAGAGTCAAACTTGGTTGGCTTGGATACATTTGTTTTAGTATAGGCAGATAACATTAAGGGCAACATGTAAACTGTTTTTCTTCTAGCTAATTAGCCCTTGACATTAGGGTTGGGCCGATAGACGATTCCATCGTCCATCGCCGATGGCTGATAGACATATTATACCAGGCATTAAAACAGCATTTGAATGCACAATGTCTTTTTATTTTCACTTTCACTTTCGAGATTAGTGATCGCATGTAGTCTGTTTATGCCATGGAGCAGCAGTACTTAACACACATTTTACAAGATTAGATGTCTGTCAGTGGTGCACTGGATCTGCAAATCATTCACCATCGTCTTCAGTCATCTCCTTACTCTGTTTATGTGGTAGGTGAAATTTTATTTACTGTAATGTAACAGGCAACCGTACACCGTGTCTACACCCACCAGACATGACAGTTATCATGTCGTGCCGCATCAGCTAAAATCTGTCTACACTGGACGTGACAAAGCGACTGTTGAAAATAATTTGAAATTTGTGTCAGCACATCATAAATAGAATGTGGCAGCAGTTTACTGTCGGGGATTTGCCCGCATCCAGTGTAGACAGCATCACTGATTATAATAAGTGCACATCATAAATAGAATGTGGCAGCAGTTTACTGTCGGGAATTTGCCCGCATCCAGTGTAGACAGCATCACTGATTATAATAAGTTCTATACACTGATCTATATATAATGAATCTCTATTATAGATCAGTGGTTCTATAGTATTTTGCCACGCTGCTCGCATCCGGTGTAGACACGGTGTTAGGAATCATTATTTGTTTTCCGTGCCTTACAAGGATTCACGCTTTGGGCATAACCACCCGCCCCCCGCCGATGTAATCGTCCATCGCGATGTTTCACTGTAGACATCATCCGATGCCAAATTTGTAGACAACGCCCAACCCTACTTGACATCTATCTATCTATCTATCTATCTATCTATCTATCTGTCTATCTGTCTGTCTGTCTGTCTGTCCGTCCTTTCCATCTTTGTTATATCTGTCTGTCTGTCTAGGCATATAAACCTGAAGCTTTAACTTTAAGGTTTTACATTTTTGTGGCTTTTTGCTTTCTCCATTCAGTCTTAAGAACTGAATTGGGTTTTAAAAGCATTTTAAAACATTCTCAAGGCATTTCCAGGAATACAGTGGTACATGTCCAAAATACAATAGACTTTGAAAACCTTACCTTGAATGGTACTAAAATACCTTGGAATTTGTATGTGCTTCTTTTGTGTGACCTGTGGAGGTAAACAGGAAATAATAGGATAAAGAGAAAGGAAAGAGATTGAGGAATGTTGTAAAAATGTGTGCTGAATAGGATTTTTTTCCTAAAGTAGAAAATATTTGTCCTAACCAATATCTCAGCTGATATATGGGATTAACAGTGAACTATGTCATTTGTATTTTTAAGACACATTTTAGAGAGTAAAAAGAGCACGATTCTAAATGTTTCTTAATTTTTTCTGTTGCAGGAGATTGCGGCCTACCTGATTACGTTTGAAAAACATGAGGAGTGGCTGACGACATCCCCCAAAACCAGGTAAGATGACTGCATGGCAGCGTTTCCTCATTTCGAGTGCGCAGTGTTACCTGAAAAGCAGAAAGGAATGTTTCAGCACAGCTGCCAGTTCCTGCACATTTCGTGGGCATGTGCAGACAGATAATGGAATATTAATGACTATTTATAATGCAAGATGTGGCCAGGTCTATTAGCTTAATGCTGTCTTTGCTCACCAATGCCATTAACGTGGGTGGTAATGTGGTGAGATCGTAGAACATCACCCTACGGTGATAAGGGCTCAGCACGAAATTTACAGTGTTACTTGATTTACCGAGCAGTGATAATGAAAAAGCTTTTTACTTTTAATGCCAGTTTCTATATCTATCCTGAGAGATAACAGCTGTGATATGATGATGAATGCAAATTAAGATAATATGTGGTTATATATGAAGTGCACGTCAAGAGCAACCAAATGGCATGGAGATTAATTCTGAACTTTGATGTTCCAAATGTTTTCAGCTCAGTTTATTTCTATAGAAGGCCATGCAATTAAATTTAATCGTAACATAAGGAACTTGTGAGTAGAGATGGAAATATCCCCTCCAAAAATAGCAATTTTGCATGCTTATCTGCGGTGGGCCAGAAAGATAAGTTTGGATTTATTCATAAACAGAAAGCTGTGGAAAGGGCAAGGGTTTGTATGGGAAGCAAATCAAGGGAAACTAAAAATGTGGGCAGACAAATGACCACCGGGTTTCGGGTTCAAGAGCTGTTTACATGGACAGAGGTTACCTGGCCGGCATCTGGATCTGTCGTTCACAGAACATGTACAAACACATTTGTAAGTACAGCGAGCAGACGAGGCTTTACTGAGCACACAACTGTTCAAGAAGCAACCTTGTTTTCTTGTGTAACGATTTTTAGTGATTCAGCTCTGACATCAGATACCAAATGACTCATAAGATGTTTTTTGATTTGTTGTGTTTTATGTAGGCCTACAGACACATATGCTGTGCCCCCAAAACATATTTTAAGAATTAAGCAGTGCATAAAAGTGTCTCGAGTGTCATTGCATTAGATAACAAAATAGCAAGTGTCATTTATTTTGAAGCACACGCACACTTTTTAAGCAGAACAAAGAGGTTTGTAGGTTTTAAATTACAAATTTAAATGATAAATGAATTCTATTTATACACTCAGAGCTCAGAAAACATGCATTTAGTATCCGGATATGCAGATGTGTTTTAGCCAGATTGCATTTACACCATTTCAATACAGTCAGTAAGATTGTGTAATGTTTTTCAAAGAATATGTTCCCAAAGGCTGCATTTATTTGACCAAAAATACAGTAAGTTATACTGTGAAATATCATTTAAATTTCTGCGATATACGTAAACCTACCAACATCCGTCGCCATAACTTATCACGAGAGGGGAAAAAAATTAGTTTTAGTCGCACAACATCGGTTAATGGAAATCCCGTCATTTCACAAAAGTTTTTATCAACATTTATAAAATATCGCAAAAGCTTTGCACAAATCTGTAATGGAAATGCGCTTATTGTAAATGTGTCCTTGCTAAATAAAAGCATTAATTTCATTCAAATAAATTAAAAAAAACTTACTGACTTCAAACTTTTGAATGGTAGTTTATATTTAAAAAATATTTGCTTTTAGAGAGAATTTGTGTGCTCCCATTATGTGGGTCACATGAGAAAAGTGCATCCAAATAAGAGCTTAACGATGAAGCGTTAATGATTTGATCGCAGTGTGTGACAGCGCCAGGATGCAGAGCAGCAGAGAAGAGACTGCCGGGCAACTGTCCTCTACACACACACACAAACAAACATGTAAACACAAGCATTCACTCTAAGTCTCTAGCACACACACACACACACACACACACACACAAACAAACATGTAAACATTCATGCATGGGGATACATTGACTCACTCGGTTCTGGCTCTGCATAAACAGATCCAATACTTCCTGCCGAACCTGATCATAGTTCTTATCCAGGAATTTATGGACCTAAAATCAGTAAAACCCTTTGTGAGATTATGTTGTCACAAGCTGTTATCATTAAAACCTCAGTTACAAATTGTAAATTAATTAAAAGTTACTTAATTCATTGGCCTCTGACTTTTGGCATTAATTGTGTAATTAAAATACTGCATGTGCAATTAGTATGTCTATTACCTGGTAAGTTACACGACCAGCATAGTAACAAACATGTAAACACAAGCATTCACACTGAGTCCCTAGCACACACACACACACATGCATGCACACAGACACACACGCAGCCCCTCTCCGCCCCCGGCCTGCCTTTACATAATGGCACTGATTTCAGTCTGCAATTTGCCATGGCTGTTTAGTGCAGCGAGTGCTTTCCTGCTCTTAATGAAGCCTGCATGACTCCAGGCTGTCTTCAGAGGTCACAACCAGTGTGAGTTCACACTGCAAGCGACGACTGGAGATACACAGCCGACATCACCCCCAAAACGCTTACACACACACACATTCATCTTCTAATATAATTAAAGCAATGAAAGCACTGCGATGATTGTGTCGTATTAATTTGAAGTTAAAAGAGTGCTTGTATCTCAGTAGTGACTCTTTATGAAACGATAGGTTGGGTAATTCACTCATGATATCTCATCTTGGAGATACACAGCCGACATCACCCCCAAAACGCTCACACACACACACATTCATCTTCTAATATAATTAAAGCAATGAAAGCACTGCGATGATTGTGTCGTATTAATTTGAAGTTAAAAGAGTGCTTGTATCTCAGTAGTGACTCTTTATGAAACGATAGGTTGGGTAATTCACTCATGATATCTCATCTCAGGATATTCAATTGTTTTTATAGCTCTGATAAGACTAGCTTTGATGTATTTTTGTTGGTATTGGTTCAATGCTGTTAATTGTACACACATATGTTGCTCTGCTGTGCATTGTGTGAGTTTATTGGCCAGGCGTTCTGGCTTTGTGTATTTTTATTTTAAATCTGTTCTGGTGTGTACATGTTAACCTTTATATGCCTGGCAGATCTTGGCATTACCACCACTCTATGTGTGCTGTGTGTGAACACTGTCTATTAAAGATGCTTGAAGTGTCTATAAAAGGCACTTATAGACAGTTTTGGGGTAGCAGCACCCTTCCAATACAGATTTCTCCAGACATTTTTGACTTTTAACTATTTGTTTATATTTGTTTAAGAATTTGTTATCAGAATTATAATTATAAGGAACAGCCGGCCATTTTAAATCAGAATCAGAATCAAAATTAGATTGATTGCCAAGTATGCTTATATGCACAAAGAAGTTGTCTTAGTGACTGAAACGTGCACAGACAGAATGACAACAGTTCAGACAGATAAATATGACAGAAATTTAATTTTTGGTTGAACAATTCCTTTAATGACAAACGGCAGCATGTTTAGCTCTGTCCCTTTAAGAGCTGCACGCATCCGTTTCTCTCTCAAATGTTTACTTTCATTTTAGAAATAACTAACTGTGTTTATATGTAAACCTTGTATGTTTTTGACATTATTAGACGCAAAATCAATCAGACGCGAAAGACAACTTAGTCTAGTAATCAGGCGCTGTTTGACAGGCTCTTGTGCGTGCGCTTCAGATGTATGCACTCGGAAAAAGCGCAGGTCAGAAAAGAACGTGAATTAAATGTTTAACCGGCAAGGCTTTAAAGCAGATGCAAATAATGCACTTTTGTGACTGTGAATAAGTGCAGTGTCCTGTGAGGTAACTCAACTGCAGTGTCCCGTGAGGTAACTCAAGATTTGATGTGAATGTATGTGGCGTTGTACAGTAGGCTATATTGCAGGGTTCCTAAATTCGTTTTCGCCAAGGGCCGAATTCTGCCAACAATACCAAGCCAAGGGCCACTGACCTATATATATGTTTTCCCCAGTAGTCTGTTTTATTCAACCAATTATGACAATTTTTGCATTTAGATACAGAAGAACTTTGCCTGTTGAATATTAAAAACAAATGAACAAACAAAAAATCAACTGTTCCTGCTCATTCCCAGACTGGATCTCTTCCGTTCACTTTCCCACTTGTATGTTAAAACTGTGAACTCACTGCGAACCAACACGTGTATTACATAAAGATATCAGTCACTCAAAACTGTTCAGTCCATTCACACTTGAATCATCTATTTTCCGTGTCCACTTTTCTTTTCTACACACTCGCCATGTTTTTGCTGTCACATCG